GTAGAAGAGTTACAGCGAGGGAGTGGATGGTAGAAGAGTTACAGCGAGGGAGCGGATGGTAGAAGAGTTACAGCGAGGGAGCGGATGGTAGAAGAGTTACAGCGAGGGAGCGGATGGTAGAAGAGTTACAGCAAGGAAGCGGATGGTAGAAGAGTTACAGCGAGGGAGCGGATGCAGGTAGAAGAGTTACAGCAAGGAGCGGATGGTAGAAGAGTTACAGCGAGGGAGTGAATGGTAGAAGAGTTACAGCAAGGGAGCGGATGGTAGAAGAGTTACAGCGAGGGAGCGGATGGTAGAAGAGTTACAGCGAGGGAGCGGATGGTAGGGAGCGGATGGTAGAAGAGTTACAGCGAGGGAGCGGATGGTAGAAGAGTTACAGCGAGGGAGCGGATGGTAGAAGAGTTACAGCGAGGGAGCGGATGGTAGAAGAGTTACAGCGAGGGAGCGGATGGTAGAAGAGTTACAGCGAGGGGGCGGATGGTAGAAGAGTACACAGGGCAGCGAGTTACAGGGAGCGGATGGTAGAAGAGTTACAGCGAGGGAGCGGATGGTAGAAGAGTTACAGCGAGGGAGTGGATGGTAGAAGAGTTACAGCGAGGGAGTGGATGGTAGAAGAGTTACAGCGAGGGAGCGGATGGTAGAAGAGTTACAGCGAGGGAGCGGATGGTAGAAGAGTTACAGCAAGGGGGTGGATGGTAGAAGAGTTACAGCGAGGGAGTGGAGCGGTTGAGATTTTTGGAAATATTAAAACACACCTTCTTTGTGACGAAGGCTTCTTTGGGAGACTTGTCACCTCTGGGTCGTGGAACATTGGGACAAAGGAAGTACATGACTTCACTATCAACCTCAAGACTCCATACGTCCAGTCTACAAACAGCAAGAGAACTCAGTATCGACAAGAGCTGTTCTTTCGCAAAAGCTGAAACCAAACTCTATTAAATTAACCACCACATGTTGCGGAATTTGAAAACAAGGGAACTGACGAAGGAAACATAAATACATGAGACAAAACCCCTACCATAGCCACAGGAGGCTACACGTTACATTCTCCTATACAAAAACCTTTCATTGTTGATGGGGACTCGGTAGATACCAAACCTGGTGAACTAATCACCTTATGCATATGACATGTAATTTCTCCTCGGGTATGCAAAGTCAAAACTATGGAATTTGAAAAATTCTTTCAATTTAGACTTTGGGTATGGATGATCCTATATATATATGTCCTTAACTGACGGTGAAATAGCCAATGTCCTGCCAAAGATCTACTGAACAAGTATATGGGAGGAGAGTGTTTAAAAACTGTCCACACGCATGTATGACAAGAGACTTTCCCTCTGTGTTGAGAAATATTCCAGCAGTTCCGTTCTTTGGTTTCACAGCTTTTGAGGTACACTGGAGCATGCTCTTTCTACTTAGATTCCAATACTGAACCATACGTTCCCGTTCTTTTGTTTTGTCTTTTTTTCCTTTCTTTTCCAGGTGCACAATTGACTTGCCTTTGCCTTGTGTTGTAACGGATGTCAATGGCGGGACAGGATATGCTCAATCAAACAACCGATATCACAGCCGATATCACGATGTGCAAACAACCGATATCACAACTATTTCATACTGACGTATAGACACGTGATCATGACATAATCACAATGGAATCTACTTCCAGCAGAGATTGATTCTGAATATGGACATGGTTATGCCCTGTTTCTAATTATTTTATCAAAACAATGTTCTTCGACGCGTAAATCTAAATATGTAGTGTGCGTATTTGATTCGCTGGGAGAGAAACTTTAAATAACGTATGTGAGTACATTGCAGCCTGTAACAGACGTCTGTTACTGTTTCGAAAAGCAAAACAGGCAGAAATCCTAAAATGAAAGTATTGTCTTCTGTTTCTCGAGGCATCCATAGTTTCCGACAACAGAGGGCCAATGGTGCCTGCCAAAGCAGACGAGGAGCCAAAGTTACGCCACTTAAGATGTTCTGTCGAGATTATCTAAGATATTTCTATGCGTGAATTAAGAATGTATCATGTATTCATGCCAACCTTTAACCTCTCCATCACACTTCCCAACAAGCTCTCCGCCCCTACCCCTACATACCGCAGGTCCACTATTACCACGCACTATGAAGGCCACATGCTGGTCAGCATGTTGTATTTCATCACTCACGTCTAATTCTGTCTATTGAAGGACTTCACTGTAGCAGAAGTAGTACAACAGATATATGCAATTAGATGATTTCCATTTCATAAACAAACCAGCGACAAGTAGGAGCACATTCGCCGGTTGCCAAGTCCCTCGCAAGTTAATCACCTTCATATTTCATACTTGCCACTTTCATTCAATCAAATCGCAGCCCCACAAATTTACAAAAACTGGATGAAGGGCTTGTCAATCTTGTTACCGCAGCTATTCATCAACTTGGGCTGATAGCGGCCGCCCGTCCCCTGCCCTCGTGCTCGCTGGCTGGGCAATCTCGGCAGTAACTCAAAGCTCCCGAATCTGGTAGATTATCGTGCTTCCCTTTGGTGCCTTCGTTGCTCTTAGGGGGTGATTGGGGCGTATTGTATAGAGACACGTTGGTTTTCTATAGTTGTTGTCGCTGTGTTCACATAGGGACCAAACTGAGTTGGGTGGGAAGCACCAGACCAAACGCTGCACCCGGACCGATACGTATATACCAACTGTGTAGAAGTGAAGCTTCTCAGGAACAAACAGTCCCTTGGTAGTATTAAATTAATAAACACTGACGCATATATAGTGCATGTGTATCTAATCCATGAAAACAGATGCATGCGCAGAATATGTGCCACTAACCCGTGGAGACAGATGCACGTGTAGGGTATGTGCCACTAACCGGTAAAGACAGATGCACGTGTAGGGTATGTGCCACTAACCGGTAAAGACAGATGGACGTGTAGGGTATGTACCACTAACCCGTGGAGACAGATGCACGTGTAGGGTATGTGCCACTAACCGGTAAAGACAGATGGACGTGTGGGGTATGTACCACTAACCGGTAAAGACAGATGGACGTGTGGGGTATGTGCCACTAACCGGTAAAGACAGATGCACGTGTAGGGTATGTGCCACTAACCGGTAAAGACAGATGGACGTGTGGGGTATGTGCCACTAACCGGTAAAGACAGATGCACGTGTAGGATATGTGCCACTAACCGGTAAAGACAGATGCACGTGTAGGGTATGTGCCACTAACCGGTAAAGACAGATGCACGTGTAGGGTATGTGCCACTAACCGGTAAAGACAGATGGACGTGTGGGGTATGTGCCACTAACCGGTAAAGACAGATGCACGTGTAGGATATGTGCCACTAACCGGTAAAGACAGATGCACGTGTAGGGTATGTGCCACTAACCGGTAAAGACAGATGGACGTGTGGGGTATGTGCCACTAACCGGTAAAGACAGATGCACGTGTAGGATATGTGCCACTAACCGGTAAAGACAGATGCACGTGTAGGGTATGTGCCACTAACCGGTAAAGACAGATGCACGTGTAGGGTATGTGCCACTAACCGGTAAAGACAGATGCACGTGTAGGATATGTGCCACTAACCGGTAAAGACAGATGCATGTGTAGGATATGTGCCACTAACCCGTTAAGACAGATGCATGTGTAAGGTATGTGCTACTAATCCATGAGGACAGACGCACACACCGTGTAAGATGTGTAAATATGTAGAATTGTTAAATACACATACAGCCGTTTGAGACAAAATGATACCGATGAATTGCAATCTAACACACACAAAAATAAACATAAAATAATCAAACCAACGCGGACTACAATAAAAACAACAGACCAACTCTATGAAAAAATTGCATAATTTGTGTCACAAAAATGAAAAAATTGTTTAAGAAACTGTCATCATTTATTTGTGCGTTTTCCCAGTTTGTTACAAGGGCGCATTGGCAACTAAAGGAACAACGCGAAAAGGCGAGGACTTATCCCGCTCAACACGTGGTCCCGGGGGTTCTCGGACCGACGCATGTCAAGGGAAGTCTATCACCTATAGATTGATTATGCAGGGACTGTCGTCATTTACAAAATCTTGTCAATCTGCTTAGCCAGCACCGGAAAATTCCCAGAGCCCCACGCGACATTTTTCTCTCGACTCTAAGCCCGCTGTTTGTCAATACGCGTTCTGGCAGACGGGAACTACTGTGACAGATCATGCAACACCTGTCGGTGACATCACGAGATTGCGTCATCAGCGTACTCACTGAGTAGTTTTTCAAGGTTATTCTTACATTTGAAATGACAGGAATATTGACACAGCATATATCATGGTATAAGTATCATTGATCCTGATGGCTTGTGGCATGAATCACAGGTCTCAACCACATCAACTTCTGAACGACGGTGTAAAGCAATAAGACCTGTTGATTATCATGCTTAACTAAGTAGAGAGTGGAACCCTCATGTAGCAAAGAGTGGAAGCCCCGGTGTAGTACAGAGCGGAAGCCCTGCAGTAGTACAGAGTGGAAGCCCTGCTGTAGTAGAGAGTGGAACCCTCCTGCAGTAAAGAGTGGAAGCCCCGCTGTAGTACAGAGTGGAAGCCCTACAGTAGTACAGAGTGGAAGCCCTGCTGTAGTACAGAGTGGAAACCCTGCTGTAGTACAGAGTGGAAATCCCGCTGTAGTACAGAGTGGAAGCCCCGCTGTAGTACAGAGTGGAAGCCCTGTTGTAGTATAGAGCGGATTCCCTACTGTGGTACAGAGTGGAAGCCCTGCTGTAGTACAGAGTGGAAGCCCCGCTGTAGTACAGAGTGGAAGCCCCGCTGTAGTACAGAGCGGATTCCCTGCTGTAGTACAGAGTGGAAGCCCTGCTATAGTAGAGAGCGGAACCCTCCTGCAGTAAAGAGTGGAATCCCCGCTGTAGTACAGAGTGGAAGCCCCGCTGTAGTACAGAGTGGATTCCCTGCTGTGGTAGAGAGTGGAAGCCCCGCTATAGTAGAGAGTGAAACCCTCCTACAGTAAAGAGTGGAAGCCCCGCTGTAGTAGAGAGCGGAAGCCCCGCTGTAGTACAGAGTGGATTCCCTGCTGTGGTAGAGAGTGGAAGCCCCGCTGTAGTACAGAGTGGATTCCCTGCTGTGGTAGAGAGTGGAAGCCCCGCTGTAGTGCAGAGTGGATTCCCTGCTGTAGTAGAGAGTGGAAGCCCCGCTGTAGTAGAGAGTGGAAGCCCCGCTGTAGTAGAGAGTGGATTACCTGCTGCAGTACAGAGTGGAAGCCCCGCTGTAGTAGAGAGTGGATTCCCTGCTGTGGTAGAGAGTGGAAGCCCTGCTATAGTAGAGAGTGGAACACTCCTGCAGTAAAGAGTGGAAGCCCCGCTGTAGTACAGAGTGGAAGCCCTACTGTAGTAGAGAGTGGAAGCCCCGCTGTAGTACAAAGTGGAAGCCCTGCTGTAGTAGAGAGTGGAAGCCCTGCTGTAGTAGAGAGTGGAAGCCCTGCTGTATTACAGAGTGGATTCTCTGCTGTGGTAGAGAGTGGAAGCCCTGCTATAGTAGAGATTGGAAGCCCTGCTGTAGTACAGAGTGGATTCCCTGATGTTGTAGGGAATGAAAGCCCCGCTGAAGCCCTTCACTACTCCATCGCTCTATACGTCCAGGTATACTTCTATAACCCTTGATCATGCTCAATCCCAACTGTAAATGACAAACAAATGTCAACGTGCAATCTGTAATAGTTCAGCTTCGTTAAACATATGCTGAGTGCTCAGCAAATAGTACTTTTTAGAAAAGGATTCATAGATACGCTTTGTTTGGATTTGACAAAATATATGTGTATTTCCTTGTCCGCCACGCAGGTGAGAGGGAAATGTTTGACAGCGGAATTCAAACAGAGCTACGATAATGCACATGAGTGAGATTTATAGACAAAAACTTTGCATTTCGGAGCGAACACGGGCTTTGTGTGGTGTGAGTGAAGAATCCCAGCAATGTATCTCGTACGACATAGTACCTTCCTGGACAGGACAGGTGACAACCCGGCAGAATGTTCTTGTCCAATGGCATGTCCCCGTCAGAACACCTGTCGTAACATCAAGTTAATGTCCTACAGATCAGGTGAACCCAGGGAGACGGGTATGGGAGAGTGCACGGGGAGAAGGCGCACTAAGTCTAACCACTTGAAGCTGCATATATTGTACGTCCCTTTCCTAAGGCCACGCCAGACTCTTCCATTCACGTAACATTTTTTCAATTGTTTGGAAGGTTGTGTTGAATTTGTTGTACGTAAATACACATAGGCATATACAAAATACCACCTGCATCCAAGGGTAATGTGGCCTAAACAGGCGATCATACCTAATCATACAAATATATAAGCAAGTGCTTCACACAACATCTTTAAAAACTATGGGTCTCATATTGCTGACTACAGGTCCCCATGATATAACTGTCATATTACAGTTGGGGCGGTGGGGTGGCCTAGTGGTTAAAGCGTTGGCTCGTCACGCCGAAGCACCGGGTTCGATTCTCCTCACATTGGTACAATGTATGAAGCCCATTTTTGGTGTCCCCACCGTTATATTGCTGGAATATTGCTAAACGCGGCGTTAAACCATGCTCACTCACTCACTCACTGATTACAGATCCACATGATTTAGCTGTCATATTGGTGAATACAGGTCCCCATGATACAACTGTCATATTGCTGGCTACAGGTCACCATGATATAACTGTCATATTGCTGGCTACAGGTCACCCTAACATAACTTATATTGGTGACTACAGGTCACCATGATATAACACTCATATTACTGACTAATGGTCACCATGATATGAATGTCATATTGCTGACTGCATGGTCCCATGATATAACTGTAATATTGATGACTACAGGGTCACCATGATATACCTCTCATATTGCTGACTACATGGTCCCATGATTTACCTCTCATATTGCTCACTACAGGTCACCATGATATAGCTGTCATATTGCTGACTACAGGTCACCATGATACAACACTCATATTGCTGACTAGAGTGTCCCATGGTATAGCTGACATATTGCTGAAAACAAGTTTCCATGATATACCTCTCATATTGATGACTACAAGGTCCCATCATATAACTATCATATTGCACTACAGGTCACCATGATATAACTCTCATATTGCTCACTACAGGTCACCATGATATAAATGTCATATTGCTCACTACAGGTCACCATGATATAGCTCTCATATTGATGACTACAGGGTCACCATGATATAACTGTCATATTAAATGACTACAGGCCACCACGATATAACTGTAATATTGCTGACTACAAGATCCCATGATATAAGTGCCATATTGATGACTACAGGGTCCAATGATATAATTTCATATTGCTGACTACAAGATCCCATGCTATAACTGCATGGTCACATGATATAAATGTCATATTGATGACTACAGGTCACCATGATATAACTGTCATATTGCGGACTAAAAGGTCTCATGATGTAACTGTCATATTGCTGACTGCATGGTCCCATGATATAACTGACATATTAATGACTACAGGGTCCCATGATATAACTGTCATATTGCTGACTGCTTGGTCCCATGATATAACTCTCATATTGCTGGCTACAGGTCATCCTGACATAACTCATATTGCTGACTACAGGTCACCATGATACAACACTCATATTGCTGACTAGAGTGTCCCATAGTATATCTGTCATATTGCTCACTACAGTGTCCCATGATATAACTGTCATATTGCAGACTACAGGGTCCAATGATATAACTGACATATTAATGACCACAGGGTCCCATGATATAACTGTCATATTGCTGACTGCTTGGTCCCATAATATAGCTCTCATATTGCTGGCTACAGGTCATCCTGACATAACTCATATTGCTGACTACAGGTCACCATGATACAACACTCATATTGCTGACTAGAGTGTCCCATGGTATAGCTGACATATTGCTGACAAGTTTCCATGATATACCTCTCATATTGATGACTACAAGGTCCCATCATATAACTATCATATTGCACTACAGGTCACCATGATATAAATGTCATATTGCTCACTACAGGTCACCATGATATAACTGTCATATTGATGACTACAGGGTCACCATGATATAACACTCATATTGCTGACTGCATGGTCCCATGATATAACTGTCATATTAAATGACTACAGGCCACCACGATATAACTGTAATATTGCTGACTACAAGATCCCATGATATAAGTGCCATATTGATGACTACAGGGTCCCATGATATAATTTCATATTGCTGACTACAAGGTCCCATGATAAAACTGTCAAATTCCTGACTGCATGGTCACATGATATAAATGTCATATTGATGACTACAGGTCACCATGATATAACTGTCATATTGCGAACTAAAAGGTCTCATGATATAACTGTCATATTGCAGACTACAGGGTCCCACGATATAACTGTCATATTGATGACTACAGGGTCCCATGATATAAATGTCATATTAATGACTACAGTGTCCCATGATATAACTGTCATATTGCTGACTGCATGGTCCCATGATTGAACTGTCATATTGATGACTAGAAGGTCCCATGATATATCTGTCATATTGCTCACTACAGTGTCCCATGATATAACTGTCATATTGCAGACTACAGGGTCCAATGATATAACTGTCATATTACTGACTACTGGGTCCCATGATATAACTGTCATATTGCAGACTACAGGGTCCCATGATATAACTCTCATACTGATGACTACAGGGTCCCATGATATAACTGTCATATTGATGACTACAGGGTCCCATGATATAAATGTCATATTGATGACTACAGGGTCCCATGATATAACTGTCATATTGCTGACTACAGGGTCCCACGATATAACTGTCATATTGATGACTACAGGGTCCCATGATATAAATGTCATATTAATGACTACAGTGTCCCATGATATAACTGTCATATTACTGACTACTGGGTCCCATGATATAACTGTCATATTAATGACTACAGGGTCCCATGATATAACTGTCATATTGCTGACTACAGGGTCCCACGATATAACTGTCATATTGATGACTACAGGGTCCCATGATATAAATGTCATATTAATGACTACAGGGTCCCATGATATAACTGTCATATTGCTGACTACAGAGTCCCATGATATAACTGTCATATTGCTGACCGCATGGTCCCATGATATAACTGTCATATTAATGACTACAGGGTCCCATGATATAACTGTCATATTACTGACTACTGGGTCCCATGATATAACTGTCATATTGCTGACTACAGGGTCCCATGATATAACTCTCATACTGATGACTACAGGGTCCCATGATATAACTGTCATATTGCTGACTACAGAGTCCCATGATATAACTGTCATATTGCTGACCGCATGGTCCCATGATATAACTGTCATATTACTGACTACAGGGTCCCATGATATAACTGTCATATTACTGACTACTGGGTCCCATGATATAACTGTCATATTGCTGACTACAGGGTCCCATGATATAACTGTCATATTGCTGACTACAGAGTCCCATGATATAACTGTCATATTGCTGACCGCATGGTCCCATGATATAACTGTCATATTAATGACTACAGGGTCCCATGATATAACTGTCATATTACTGACTACAGGGTCCCATGATATAACTGTCATATTAATGACTACAGGGTCCCATGATATAACTGTCATATTACTGACTACAGGGTCCCATGATATAAGTGTCATATTGCTGACTACAGGGTCCCATGATATAACTGTCATATTGCTGACTGCTTGGTCCCATGATATAACTGTCACGTTGATGACTGCTTGGTCCCATGATATAACTGTCATATTGCAGACTACAGGGTCCCATGATATAACTGTCATATTACTGACTACAGGGTCCCATGATATAAGTGTCATATTAATGACTACAGGGTCCCATGATATAACTGTCATATTGCTGACTGCTTGGTCACATGATATAACTGTCACGTTGATGACTGCTTGGTCCCATGATATAACTGTCATATTGCAGACTACTGGGTCCCATGATATAACTGTCATATTGCTGACTACAGGGTCCCATGATATAACTGTCATATTGCTGACCGCATGGTCCCATGATATAACTGTCATATTGCTGACCGCATGGTCCCATGATATAACTGTCTTATTGCTGACTACAGATCACAATGTTATAGCTGTCATATCGCTGACCGCATGGTCCCATGATGTAACTGTCATATTGCTGACTACAGGGTCTCATGATATAACTGTCATATTGCTGACTACAGGTCACCATGATATAACTGTCATATTGCTGACTGCATGGCCCCATGATATAGCTGTCATATTGCTGACTGCATGATCCTATGATATAACTGTCATATTGCTCACTACAGATCACCATGATATAGCTGTCATATTGCTGACTGCATGATCCTATGATATAACTGTCATATTGCTCACTACTGGTCACCATGATATAACTGTCATATTGCTGACTGCAGCCATCATATAACTCTCATATTGCTCCCTACAGGTCAGCATGGTATAACTCTCATATTGCTTCGTACGGGTCACCATGATATAACTGTCATATTGCTGAGCCCCATGATATAACTCTCATATTGCTGACTACAGGTCCCCGTCATATAGCTGTAAGCTTGCTGACCACAAGTCGCCGGGGTGAAGGTATGACACAGCTAACAGCTTACAATGAAATGGGTCCGCTTCCTACAGGCACGCACAGTGCATAGCAACCCCTTCTGTGTATCTGTCTGTCCAGAAATTGTCTCATCATTCCAGAAACCTGCAATGTTTATATGGATGGAACCAAACACTACATTTACTGTCCATACACTCCTAAACTGAAAAACAAACATGGGCTATAGGTGGAGGAGTTGAACTTTGCCCCCTCTCAAACAAGCTTCGTCATCCAGATCTATCGCGGAAACTGCCCTGCCCCACAGAGGTGGCGTTACGTCAGAGAAGGGCGCGTCCCAGCCCCCTGAAACCCCCTGTCACGTGACTACAGACCGTCCAGCGTGCTTCAATATCTACAATATTGTATTAAGGAGATGATATACAGTGAGTATGTACAATGGAAAAAGGTAAAGAGCTCTAACGGGGGATTACTGGCCTTAGCGTGTTTACCGTCGCCTGTGGCCTACTCCGACAAACGGCGGAATGTATTTGAGCAGGTATTACAGTGAAGGCTTAGATACACTCGCTAACAATACCGCCACTTGAAATGTCACGTTTGCCTTTAACTCCTAGCATTATGTTACCATGGTAACTGGACACCTGACAACGCTAGTTATGGGGGTAAAACTGGAGATGTAACTGGTTTACATTGACATTATGCGGCATCGTCCAGGAATTAAATTCCTTGCACCAGGAAAGGCAAGACATTTAAGCCATGCTGTATAAAGCAGACATATCAAAATATTAAATGGGCTCATACGAGATTTATTTTAGTCCTGTTTTATCCGGGCTTTCACCAACTTCAATTTCATTATGGCTGTTGTATTACATTGAAGCGTTACACAGATAACCTTTGGCTGGATCGGGATCAGTGTCCACGTCAAATGTCATTATGAAACTCGCGGTAGTTAGGTGTGAGGAGGCCTACATTCGTCACACCCTAGCAACTGAGTACAGTTTGAAATATATGAAATTATTCGTGAGCTTTAGAATCCAGTCACTGTGGCTCATAAAAATAATCCCTAAAATGGTGAGGTTTCCGCCAGTATTTAACACTGAAAACATCGAGTTAATGTGACCCCAGTGAACCTTTGTTCCCGATGTGTTATCATGTGTGTCGGTGTTTCACAGGGAACCAACTCAATAGTAGTCGATGCCTTACTAAGTGCTGACGTAGCCGTGTTCCTGGACGTTCCGTGTCTGCATCTGAACCTGGACACACTTCCACAATGGAGAAACAAGCGGCAGTCTTAACGTGACAAGTTAAACATATCACCTTTACTTCTAGCCGCCATGTGCAATAACCACATTTCACACTGTCTCAGTCTCCATCTTCCTATGACAGAGTCTCGACAAGGCTTAACACGGGTGCAAACAGTGCTGCAATAAATCTTAATTAGCGCAAATTGATAACCGGACGGAAGAGTAGCATCATAGCGGTGACCACAACAGACCACCTGGTTATATCGACCCCCTTCATCACACCCCTACTCCCCGTCCAGATCAGCGGTATACCGGTGACCACAACAGACAACCTGGTAATACCGAGACCTCATCACACCCCTACTCCCGTCCAGATCAGAGGTATAACTGTGACCACAACAGACAACCTGGTAATACCGACCCCCTTCATCACACCCCTACTCCCCGTCCAGATCAGCGGTATACCGGAGACCACAACAGACAACCTGGTAATGCCGACCCCCTCATCACACCCTTACTCCCCGTCCAGATCAGCGGTATAGCGGTGACCACAACAGACCACCTGGTTATACCGAACCCTCCTCACACCCCTACTCCCGTCCAGACCAACGGTATAGCGATGACCTCAACAGACCACGTGATTATACCGAGCCCTCATCAAACACCTACTCCGTCCAGATCAGCGGTATACCGGAGACCACAACAGACAACCTGGTAATACCGAGACCTCATCACACCCCTACTCCCGTCCAGATCAGCGGTATAACTGTGATCACAACAGACAACCTGGAAATGCCGACCCCCTCCTCACACCCTTACTCCCCGTCCAGATCAGCGGTATAGCGGTGACCACAACAGACCACCTGGTTATACCGAACCCTCCTCACACCCCTACTCCCGACCAGATCAGCGGTATAGCGGTGACCTCAACAGACCACCTGGTTATATATACCCCCTCATCACACCCCTCCTTCCCATCCAGATCAGCGGTATAGCAGTGATAGTAACAGACCACCTGGTTATATATACCCCCTCATCACACCCCTACTCCCCATCCAGATCAGCGGTATAGCAGTGATAGCAACAGACCACCTGGTTATATATACCCCATCATCACATCCCTACTCCCCGTCCAGATCAGCGGTATAGCGGTGACCACAACAGACCACCTGGTTATATATATCCCCTCATCACACCCCTACTCCCGTCCAGATCAGCGGTATAGCGGTGACCACAACAGACCACCTGGTTATATATACCCCATCATCACATCCCTACTCCCCGTCCAGATCAGCGGTATAGCGGTGACCACAACAGACCACCTGGTTATATATATCCCCTCATCACACCCCTACTCCCGTCCAGATCAGCGGTATAGCGGTGACCACAACAGACCACCTGGTTATATATACCCCCTCACCACACCCCTACTCCCGACCAGATCAGCGGCATAGCGATGACCTCAACAGACCACCTGGTTATATATACCCCCTCATCACACCCCTACTCCTCATCCAGATCAGCGGTATAGCGGTGACCACAACAGACCACCTGGTTATACCGACCCCCTCATCACACCCCTACTCCCCATCCAGATCAGCGGTATAGCGGTGACCACAACAGACCACATGGTTATACCGACCCCCTCATCACACCCCTACTCCCGTCCAGATAAGTGGTTTAGCGGTGACCACAACAGACCACCCAGTTATACAGACCCCCTCATCACACCCTTACTCCCCATCCAGATCAGCGGTATAGCAGTCATAGCAACAGACCACATGGTTATACCGACCCCCTCATCACACCCCTACTCCCGTCCAGATCAGCGGTATAGCAGTTATAGCAACAGACCACCTGGTTATATATACCCCCTCATCACACCCCTACTCCCCGTCCAGATCAGCGGTATAGCAGTGATAACAACAGACCACCTGGTTATATGTACCCCCTCATCACACCCCTACTCCCCGTCCAGATCAGCGGTATAGCAGTTATAGCAACAGACCACCTGGTTATATATACCCCCTCATCACACCCCTACTCCCCATCCAGATCAGCGGTATAGCAGTGATAGCAACAGACCACCTGGTTATACATAACCCCTCATCACACCCGTACTGCCCGTCCAGACCAGTGGTATAGCAGTGATAACAACAGACCACCTGGTTATACATAACCCCTCATCACACCCGTACTCCCCGTCCAGACCAGTGGTATATCAGGTAGTTCAGATTAAAGTACACGTCACCAGATAGAGGTGAAACAAGAGTTCTCTCGTTACCAGCTCCTGGGGTTTATTATGACAGTCCAACATGAGCGTCAGGGGGCCAGGCAGAAAGTGTAACTGCATTTAATCCATGATAATGATTGTTCCTGACTGATCTATGTGACTTAAGCGATTTTTCATTCATGCGCTTCAGTAATGCGAATACGCATCTGTAAAGTGTAACATAAAGTTAAAACTTGGTACAGTGTTTGAGCAGCAATAGGATGATACAGTGATCAGTGATCCAGAAAATCTGGGTTCGTTCTTCGTAAAGGGTAAACATTTTTAAACCCATCAGGGTAAATCCCTTTTTTTTATTGTTTTGAATTGTCAAAATCAGATACCCAGGTGGTGCAGTATATCCGATAGAGGCAGATAACTAGGTGGTACATCATTGCGGATACAGGCAGATAACTAGGTGGTACATCATTGCGGATACAGGCAGATAACCAGGTGGTACATCATTGCGGATACAGGCAGATAACTAGGTGGTACATCATTGCGGATACAGGTAGATAACCAGGTGGTACATCATTGCGGATACAGGCAGATAACCAGGTGGTGCATCATTGCGGATACAGGCAGATAACCAGGTGGTACATCATTGCGGATACAGGCAGATAACTAGGTGGTGCATCATTGCGGATACAGGCAGATAACCAGGTGGTGCATCATTGCGGATACAGGTAGATAACCAGGTGGTACATCATTGCGGATACAGGTAGATAACCAGGTGGTACATCATTGCGGATACAGGTAGATAACCAGGTGGTACATCATTGCGGATACAGGTAGATAACCAGGTGGTACATCATTGCGGATACAGGTAGATAACCAGGTGGTACATCATATCGGATACAGGTAGATAACCAGGTGGTGCAGTATATCGGATACAGGCAGATAACCAGATTGGTGCAAAATTACAGGTAGATAACCGGATACAGGCAGATAACAGGTGGTGCAGTAGGTGGATTCAGGTAGATAACCAGATTGGTGTAGTATATCGGATACAGGCAGATAACCAGGTGGTGCAGTATATCGGATACAGGCAGATAACCAGTGGTGGTGCAGGTATATCGATACAGGCAGATAACCAGGTGGGCAGTATATCGGATACAGGCAGATAAGCAGGTGGTGCAGTATATCGGATACAGGCAGATAACCAGGTGGTGCAGTATATCGGATACAGGCAGATAACCCAGTGGTGCAGTATATCGGATACAGGCAGATAACCAGGTGGTGCAGTATATCGGATACAGGCAGATAACCCAGTGGTGCAGTATATCGGATACAGGCAGATAACCAGGTGGTGCAGTATATCGGATACAGGCAGATAACCAGGTGGTGCAGTATATCGGATACAGGTAGATAACCAGGTGGTGCAGTATATCGGATACAGGCAGATAACCAGGTGGTGCAGTATATCAGATACAGGCAGATAACCAGGTGGTGCAGTATATCGGATACAGGCAGATAACCAGGTGGTGCAGTATATCGGATACAGGCAGATAACCAGGTGGTGCAGTATATCAGATACAGGCAGATAACCAGGTGGTGCAGTATATCGGATACAGGCAGATAACCAGGTGGGCAGTATATCAGATATCGGATACACAGGTGCAGTATATCGGATACAGGCAGATAACCAGGTGGTGCAGTATATTGGAGATACAGGCAGATAACCAGGTGGTGCAGTATATCGGATACAGGCAGATAACCAGGTGGTGCAGTATATCGGATACAGGCAGATAACCAGGTGGTGCAGTATATCGGATACAGGCAGATAACCAGGTGGTGCAGTATATCAGATACAGGCAGATCACTAGGTGGTGCAGTATATTGGATACAGGCAGATAACCAGGATGGTGCAGTATATCAGATACACAGATCACTAGGTGGTGCAGTATATCGGATACAGGCAGGTGGTGCAGCATAACCAGGTGGTGCGGTATCTCGGATACAGGCAGATAACCCAGTGGTGCTGTATATCGGATACAGGTATATGACCAGGTGGTGCAGTATATCGGATACAGGCGCAGTATATATACAGCCAGATCATAGGTGCAGTATATCGGATACAGGCAGATATGACCAGGTGGTGCAGTATATCGGATACAGGCAGATAACCAGGTGGTGCAGTATATCGGATACCAGATGGTGCGGATACAGGCAGATAACCAGGTGGTGCAGTATATATCAGATACAGGCAGATAACCAGGTGGTGCAGTATATCAGGATACAGGCAGATAACCAGGTGGTGCAGTATATCGGATACAGGCAGATAACCAGGTGGTGCAGTATATCGGATACAGGCAGATAACTAGGTGGTGCAGTATATCAGATACAGGCAGATAACTAGGTGGTGCAATATATCGGATACAGGCAGATAACTAGGTCGTGCAGTATATCAGATACAGGTATCATCCTGTTTTCAGTTCTATTCACTTGTCTTCCTGACGGGGATACACAGGTCGACACAGCCCGGCGGCCGTAGCGAGGCTTCAGGGGGCAGAGTACAAAGCCTCTCATGAAACCGACGAAGATAATTATAGAGAATAAGGCGGCTTGGGAAGGACCGAAAGCGATCATTGGAAGGGGAAGATTTGATTGTAATATTAATGTGGGTGCCCGGAATTCGGCTTCAGCTGGTTACACTCCCCTAGTGTCCTGCTTGTCAATTAACAAGGCATTGCCGAACAGTATACACAAACTGTAATCAGTCACCTGTCAGATCAAAGCCTAAACTAATTAAAGTTTGATGGCTGATTCCGTTTTGATCACCGACGGAATGTAAACAACCTAGTATTTACTGGACTGTGTTGTTATGGAGCTTTGCTTACACAGTATTAGGTTTTTGTTAAAACTTGATTGTGTGGGTGTTTTTTCTGTTTTGGTAACTAGTCACTTCACCGTTACTCTACTACTGCGAACACCAAGGCCCGGCTGCCAGACATAGTGTATCAAACAAAGGACAATACTGGTGGGTGAAGTTGTATAGTTTACGGAAGTACTAAATAATGATGAAGAAGTATCCCAAGACTATGAGAGTGAGTGATTGAGTGAGTGAGTTTAGTTTTACGCCGCACCCAGCAATATTCCTGCTATATAGCTGCGGCGTGTAAATAATAGGGTATGGACCAGACAATCCAGTGATCTACAGCATGACCATCGATCTACGCAATTGGGATACTATGACATATGTCAACCAAGTCAGCGAGCCTGACCACGCAAACCCGTTAGTCGCGTCTTACGACAACCATGAGTCATACCAATGCTTCTATCAACTCGTCGAACATCCTCTGTTAATTACGTCTTTATCATATGTCTGTATCGGTTAGTGAGTTGATCGATTATGTTGCATCGTGCCTCGACAGTGTCAGCGGTGCCCATGTTATCAACCACCGCTTTGTCTGCTCCACGGCGGAGAGTATTTGGGATAGTTCTGACACAACCTTCCCCCACTGATGCGGAACTTGTTTTCAATATTTCAGTCACATCCCGACGGGGTGGTCTTACCAGAAATGGGCTTCACATGTAATGCCACCTATAGATGGAACCCAGATTTCAGAGTACCGAGTGAACGTTTCTACCACTAGGCTACCCACCGAAAGTCGACGTATTGCTAGGTGTAGGCCATGTCAATCAGTCGTCAGTTCACAAGAATCCCCCCCCCCCCCCAGACTTAACGTCGTGACTCGCTGATTACCTTTATATTACCGAAGCCGTTTACTGTCTGATCAATGTTCTGTTAATGTTTCAAGCCCTTGCGAAAGTGGACAGTCTCTCAACGCTCGTAATGCCATATTAATCCAATACGTAATTGCACGATGAAGATGTTTCCAATGGAGTATTACAATCAGAGCGGAGTTAAAATGGTAGTAATACCTCTAATTTAACCGGTCTTCTCCAGGCGTAGATATTCTTGCGCAAGTTTAAGCACAAACTGGTTATAATAAGGGAGGAACTATATTACATGCCCCCAGCAGCTCATCAGTTGCTGCGGATGGACTTCCCCATAAAGTAAAACTAATATCAAACTGAGGCGAAGCTCCTGCACACAATCACCCCTCCGTACTGCCAGGCTGGAAACTCTCCCAGGATAATTTCCCATGGTCTCTTGTGAATAATTTGAGAAGCTAATACACATCTTTCCTTAAGGCGACTGAGCACACTTGAATATTTCATGCTTCCAATTAAAACACATCGCCATGTGGACAATTCTCATATTGATGACGATGTAACGCACAGATAGTATTATTAAACACATTTCCCCCGCTGTGAGGCGCTGTGCCGGAAACACTATCACGCGAGTCAATGCATGGCCCATGATTGCCGTCAGCACATTACCTCAGGAACTCTGTATGGTGGAGACTGCAGTGGTGTGATATGATTCACATTCGCTTGATACAGACAATAAACCTGTATACATGTACACTGAAGATCGACCTTGATACAGACAATCAAAAACCTGTATACATGTACACTGAAGATCGACCCGTGATACAGACAATAAACCTGTATACATGTACATTGAAGATCGACCTTGATACAGACAATAAACCTGTATACATGTACACTGAAGATCGACCCTGATACAGACAATAAACCTGTATACATGTACACTGAAGATCGACCCTGA